CAGCAGACCACCGCCATGGGCTCGCACGAGCTCTGCACGGTATTACGACGGCCCTTATATACTGACTGAAATCGGGCGCTCCCGCTGTCGATCTTACCCATACCCTCTTCTCCTCCTCCTCTGCCTCTCTCGCTCCGCTGCCTGTTCTCTCCTCCCCCCTCCCATCTCCTTCCGCATCTCGTCTCCGGGAGGATCTTGCGTCCTCTCGCCCTGCTGTGCGTAATGAAAACCTCCATACCGTCGGACGTGTGGGAGAAGAAGAAGTCGTTGATTGCCCGGTTGTACAAGGATGAGGAGTGGCCGCTGAAGCAGGTCATCAAGCAGATCCGCACGGAGGACTTCAATCCGAGGTGAGCTTTGCTTGTCGACAGGGCCCTGTCGCGGGCCCCGATCCTGCCCATGGCGATGGTAAAGACTGATGGGCGGCTAGTGAGACGCAATTGCGCAGCCGGTTGAAGAAATGGCGTGTCACCAAGCCGTCGCGTCAGACCCGGAAGAAGCCGCAAGAAAGCCAGCAGCAGGAGTCAAATAATGCAGACGACGATGATGGGCCCGAGGACCCCTCTCCTGTCGAGTCCAAGAAGAATAATAATAATAATAATAATAATGCCTCTCATCCCACGCCGCAACCCCAATCGACTCAGCAGCTTCAACCACCAAAGGACGCGGCCGCCAACCCAGACTGGTACTCGGCCAATGGCTGGTTTCCCCCGCAGCAACGCCAGCAGCAGGATATGATGCAGCCGCCGGTCATGGCCCCATCTTTGTCTGTTGATACTCGTGATGCTTCAGTCGGCTCCAATTGGGCCCCTTCTGCGCCTGCTCCTGCTCCGGCTCCTGCCCCGGCACCCGAGTCTCAATCTCAACAACAATCCCTGAATCCTCAGGATAACAGCAATCACATTCCCAACACCACGCCCGCCATGCAGTCGTTTGCCATGGCTGCACCCACGCCGATTTCGTACGAGCTACATCAGCCGGCCCTTCCAGCAGTAACGTGCCCATGAACTCGACGCCAATGGTAGCTCCTTCCTATCCCAACCCAGGGTATGCCGTGTCTACGGAGGTCTGCCTCCCCTCTCCAGCGCCCCCGATGGGGGCCCAATGGCCGACGGGAACCGTCCACATCGAGCCAGACGTCAACGCTGGCTTCCCCGTGGCCAACTGGTTTTCGGCACCTTTCGAGCCAGCCAACCCGCATTTTGCAGCCTATTATCCGCAGAAAGCGGTCAATCCCTCAATGGCGGCCTATGGCCAAATGATGCAACCGATGCCCGCGCAAGATATGAACCAAACGTTCCCTCAGTCGCCATCGGTGGCGGGTGCATTCCACTCCAGTCTTGTTGACGACTTGAGATATATAAGGCCGTGGAGACGCGCTATGGCCTCCCATTACGGTCCGGAAGCAGCCAACGGACACGCTCGCGTGGATCGACAAGGCCGACAACGAAAACCGGCTTCGGAAAGGAAACGAAAGGACCAGTCCTCTCCAAATGGAGTGGAAATGGCGGCTCATCAGTCACAGATGCAATCGATGCAAACCCCAATGCAGCCGCAGTTTGTCGCATCGGGACAACATCCGATGATGCCCCAAGAGATGTTTGGCTATTCCGGCCACGACCAGATAGTCCAAAGGCCTCCGGGTAACTGAGGATATATGGTCTATGGTGGGAGCAACGCGGATGGGGTCGTCCAACCACCCGTGGCGGACAAACCCCTTGAAGCTGGGTGGGTATTCGGTGCCTGGTAACCAGCGTGGAAAACTTCTCGACCAGCCTCCTTTGGATGGACCATCGAACCTCACCTGTGTCAACTCTTGCGCGCATCCTCGACGATGTCAGTGAACATACGATCTTTTTGATTACTTTCGTATCCTTTTGTTGTCAACAAGCGCGATTTCTCCCGTTATGCGATTGCCATTTCAAAATGGCCATGTGTCTTTTTGTCTTGTTCCCTTCTATTTGTCCTATATACCCAAGCACACGTTTCTTCTCTGTCCGGCATCGTCGTCAAGGGTGTTAAAAAATACCCACCCTTTGTATATACTACTAATCCTGTGGCACTAGGAACACCCACTCAGACGGCCTTTTTATTTTTTTGGTCTTTCTTCTTTCGTTCTTTTTTTTTTCTTTGTTTTATGTTTTGTGGCTACTGCTTTACAGGGCCATGTGAGCAATGTGCTTGGTTTGTTATTTGCCGACGGTACCAAAACGGATTGGCAGGGGGACACCGGCGTTTGACTTTGTGGGGGTTGTTGAATTCTTACTCGGCGGTTTTCTGTCGACCTCGGTGTACATTGGATGAGGAGTCATCGACCTTGGTGTGGCTGGACTGGGGATTGATCATTTTCCCTCTCAGGCAGATTGGTGAGATGACAGTTATTCACAGGAATATAAATAATAATTATCAGACAAATCCTCCTCATGCCTTAACTTTTACCTGAATGCGGTAACCAGATCATCGCGGTATTTCTACGTATGAAGCATTGGATTGATCCTGATACAAGAATATAGTAAGCTATTAACCGAACGGGACGAGATCCATAAAACTGGCAAGCGTCATTTTGATAGAGGATTTGTATTCAGGGATCGACAGAACACGTGGCGCTGGTAGGGATATCCTTTCCAATCTTGCAGATCTAGATAGCAGGTTACCGGTAAAGGCAGTTAACTATTATTATACCTGGTAGGCTGGTACCAGTGGGTAGGCTGGATCCCTGGGATTTCCCGACCCCGAACCTCGGCTTCTCCGCCCGTGGGGAAACCCCAACTTATTATTACCAACGTTACTGCGTACAGAGAGAGAACAGGGTCTGCTGACTTATATTAATTGATATAGAGGGCCTTGAGCGGACGAAACAAGTCTCAAGGTATTTTATTTTGTTGTCTCTCTTTCTCCGGAAATCTCTTGTTTGACCAAGAGACAGGAGTGGACTTTTGACAACAGATACAGATCATCAAGACATTGCTTCATCTCCCCCTCTCTAACTGTCCTCTCAAGAGTCAATCAATTGAACCGTTACTTGACTGTCGTCTAGATTTAGATTGTTTTTGTTTCACGAATTAATTGTCTTTGTGCCATCTTAATTTTTCACGACAAGATGCGCGCGATTCAGCTTACGGAATATGTCAAGGTACATACATACATCCTCAGAAACATAAGATGAAAAAAAAGACTGGTCTCTCGAAATCAGAAGTTCGAAATCAGAAGTCAACCTGCTAATGAAAGCTTGTAGGGACCTCTCGATCTGAAAGTTACTGAGCTCCCCACTCCCTCCCCCTCCCCCGACAAGTACCTTATCGAGATTCATTCTGCCGGTACCAACTTCTTCGACCTCCTTCAGATTCAAGGCAAATACCAGCAGCAGCCGCCTTTCCCATGGATTTCGGGGATGGAATTCGCGGGCACCGTCCTAGCCACGCCAACAGCCGCTAAGAACCCACGGTTTAAGCCCGGTGACCGCGTCTTCGGTGCCAATCAGGGAGCATACGCTACGCATATTCTTGCTCCCGAACAGTCTCTGCTGCCTGTCCCCGAAGGATGGAGTTTCGAGGATGCGGCCGGGCTGTTCGTCACCGCGCCCACTTCGTATGGAGGCTTGGTACACCGTGCCAATGTCCAGCAGGGCGATTGGGTCCTGGTGCATGCTGCGGCAGGTGGAGTCGGGCTGGCAGCGGTGCAGATCGCGAAAGCCCGGGGCGCGACGGTGATTGCGACCGCGGGGACGGAGCGCAAGAGACAGATCGCGAAGGACTTTGGCGCCGACTACGCGGTCGACTACCGAGACAAAAACTGGCCTGAGGTGGTCAAAAAGCTGTGCGAGGAGCACCGGACGGGCAACGGCAAGGCCGGAGTGGACATTGTCTATGACCCCGTGGGGATGATCGACCAGAGTCTGAAATGCGTCGCCTGGAACGCGCGACTGCTGATCATCGGGTTTGCGGCGGGGAAGATCGAGAAAGTGGCGCTGAACCGGGTCCTGCTGAAGAACGTGAGTCTCGTCGGGTTGCACTGGGGCCAATACGCCCACTTTGAAAAGGAGACAGTGGGCACCGTTTGGCGGGGGATCTTTGATTTGATATCCCAGGGCAAATTCCGGGGGACCGCCTTTAAGGATGAAAGCTTCGTTGGCCTGGAAAGCGTCCCCCGGGCGTTGAATGCGTTGGGAAGCCGAGATACTTGGGGAAAGGTGGTGGTCAAAGTGGTCGACGATGACGCTTCGAAGTCGGGAATTACACAAAGCAAGTTGTAGATGAGAGAATCTTGACTTTGCCGAGGTTTGAACGTTTGTATATAGATATATTTATCCTACAGGCATGTCTATGCGTTTAGACTTCTGAGCAAAGATGGCCATGATAGGCCTGTTAAGGGACAGAGATGAATCTATTACACGGCATGAGAAAATATATTTGGATATATGAATATACCTAGGGTGAACAAATCTTGTTGTAATGTAGGTGCGCAAGGAGTCATGCTCTCGTGGAAACGTCTCTCATTCAAGAGACAGCGAAACGAGCATGAACTATGAAGGCCCTTATATCTTTGTTCTAGCAATCTGTTTAAAAGGAAATGGATAAAAGCTGCAGACCGGTCCCAAAACAGAACCGGCACTCCAGCTCTATCCAAATCCGATCCAGTTCCAGTCAACACAGGCACAAGACGTGCGGGTGTGCTGACTGTCCTTTTCCAAGGGTTCGTGGAAGAAAGTCACTCCAAGAAATGAAGTGACCAGGAACAGCTGGATCGAGAGATTGCGTACAGTCTGATGAGAAGGATCTGCAACGTTTTGCCTCTGTTTTAAGTTCTCCTTTGTTGTTTTCCTTGGATTTTTCATTCCAGCCAACGTCAAAGAAGATAGATCCCCTTCCATTCGCTAATTTAGCGTAAAAATAAGATTCTGGTCGAGCTGTGGTTAGCGTAGAAAAGCGAAGGCGCGCAGCCAGATAGGTAAGACGTCGTGTGAGCGGTTTCGGAGCGAAAGAGCTTGTCGGTTGGATTTAACAAGCTACAGTGCGCCATTCTAGAAAGAGGCATCGTCAAAGAGCATTGAATGGTCTAGATAGGTGCACCCATCAATTAATCGTTGTAGTCACCGATCCACTGGCAAGAAGTCAACCGGTATCGAGGGATGTTCCTCCATGGGCTCGATCTATCGTGTGGTCAATAACATCTCTCCCTGTCTGGTTGGCTGGTCTGGAAGGATGAAAGAGAAATCTCCTAATAAGTGGGTAGATATATTATGAGACAAAGCATCTCCATCGCAGTGTCATTCAGGTGTTGATCAGGTTGGTGTTTTTTTTTAAGCGGTCGGGGTTTTTTTTCTCGAATTCCGAGCTTCAGTCTAGACCGATTTAGGCAATGCCTGGTCTTCCCACTTTTAGGAGGTACCCTTGAGTACATGAACATACAACAATTCTCTTGAGATGCAAGATGCAGTCAATCAAATCCTATTGATCATTGAGGATGCTCTTCAGCCGAGGCCTCAGGATTAAGGTTTCTAAATTGAGTGCATAGTTGTTATCCGCGATAGGACACCCGCCTGTACGGTCCTTGGTAGAAGTAAGAGTGAATCAGGCACAATAGCCTTCGAAGAACCATGGTCATCACTCTGCTTGTAGTTACCTGGGTACGTAGTACCTTTTTCGGGAGTCTCCAGATAGGCAAACCCGTTCATGTCGAACTGCCCACGGTACGGTTCGAAACGCAATCTCTACGTCATGCCGCCATGACGACCGTCAACCGCCAAACAGCATCGACCTCCAAGACACGAAGACATTGCAGTCTTGACCGAAAGAGAAAATAAAAATGCCTAGACTCTCCTTGGTCGATCCGGATGGAGTATAGAGTCTGGAGCGGCAGAAAAGCCCGACGCTTCCATTGCGTGAGCTGGTAGCGTTGCATGATCCTGACAGTAATCCATATAGTACCTACCTAGTACATGCTGATTGATCGATCCGGCATTTAAACCAGAAGTGTAGCTGAGAGAACCGTAAAAAAAGGCGATTGCTGTCCATGGCAATCAACACACACTTGTTGCGGCCATTTCTTTTGCAACGATGAGTAAATCAGGAGCCGCTTCCAAATTCAGCCATCTCCCTCGTGCTGCGAAAGGACCCATTGAATGTCCCTTGGAGGTATGTCAGCTGGATAGTCATCTCATGGAAAAATTTTTTTTAAATGTTGAATGTTGAATGGCTTCATCTGAGACTGTTATAATGTCCAGGGCTCCGCACTTCTGCAGTCTTCATACTACAACAAAGGATCGGCTTTCCCCGATGACGAGCGCCAGGAATTTCGACTGCATGGCCTCTTACCTCCGAATGTCCAGACGTTAGACGAGCAGATTAAGAGGGCCTATGAACAGTATTCCAGCCGACCAGATGATTTGGCCAAGAATACTTTTATGGCAAGCCTGAAGGCGCAAAACGAAGTGCTGTATTACAAAGTAAGTCTCTGTTGTTCATTCGCTGTTTTTTTAAGTCTTGAACCTATGCTGATATTTATCCTCTGACCAGCTCATCCAAACTCACCTCAAAGAGATGTTCAGTGTCATCTACACGCCCACAGAAGGTGACGCAATTCAGAACTACTCGAGGTTGTTCAGGCGACCCGAAGGGTGCTTCCTGAACATCCATGACCTAGACCGGATCGAGACCAGTTTGTCACAGTTTGGTGAATCTGGTCGGAATGAAGAGATCGACTACATCGTCGTGACGGATGGCGAGGAGGTATCGGATACATCCACCAGAACTAGCTTCCTGCAGCTGACATACCCGGTTCAAGATTCTAGGAATTGGCGATCAGGGAGTGGGATCGATCCTCATCTCGGTCGCGAAACTTGTTCTGACCACTTTATGCGCTGGGATTCATCCTTCAAGGCAGCTGCCAGTGGTATTGGACTGCGGAACAGATGTATCATTCCTCATCTCATCTACCGTCGATCCAGAACACTAGGGCTAACATTTGGTGGTTCTACTTTCTTCTCCAGAACCAAGCATTGTTGAATGACGAACTGTATTTAGGTTTCCGTCACCCCCGGGTTAGAGGAGAAAAGTATGACAGGTTCGTCGACAAATTCGTAGAAACGGCCCGGAAAATATTTCCCAATGCCTATATCCATTTGTCAGTCTCCTTTTTGCCTTTCCTACCGTCAGAAGTATCTAAATTAACAAATGACACAGTGAAGATTTTGGCCTGAACAATGCACGAAGACTTTTGGACAAGTATCGTCCGCGTGTTCCATGCTTCAATGACGATATCCAAGGTACCGGCTGTGTGACCCTGGCGGCTCTGATGGCGGCTCTGCACGTCAGCAAGATCACACTCAGCGAAGTTCGCGTCGTGATTTTCGGATCTGGATCTGCTGGTACAGGCATCGCCGATCAGATCACAGATGCCATCGCCACGGAGAGCAACAAGTCCAAGGGAGACGCCGCCAAGCAAATCTGGTTCGTTCTGCCATTTTCCTGAGAAACAGTAGTGGTCTTAATCCGTGTTGACAGGTGTCTTGATAAACCAGGATTGCTTCTCAAATCCTACAAGGACAAGCTGACTCCAGCGCAAGTACCGTTCGCGCGAGACGACTCGGAGTGGCCAAACAAGGAGCATCTGGACCTCTTTAGTGTCGTCAAGACGGTGAAACCGCATGTACTGATCGGAACATCCACCAGACCAAATTCTTTCACGGAGGATATCGTCAGGGAGATGGGAAAACATGTGGAACGACCGGTTATCTTCCCTCTGAGCAACCCGACCCGGCTGCATGAAGCCCAGCCTAAAGATATTAACGACTGGACGGAGGGCAGAGCCTTGATCGCAACAGGTAGCCCATTTCCTCCTGTGGAATACAACGGTGTCAAGTACGAGATTGGTCAGTCGCTTTATTCCACTTCTTCTTTCAGAAGTGTCAAGTCATTGTTCTAACTGTGACCTCCATTTTCTAGCGGAATGCAATAATTCCACTTGCTTTCCTGGCATTGGTTTGGGCGCAGTCCTGTCTCGAACACTTCTCCTGTCGGACAAGATGCTCGTTGCCGCGGTCAAGGCATTAGCTGCGCAGTCACCGGCACTTAAGGACCCGAATAAGCCTCTCCTCCCGGACGTTGTGGATGTCCGAGAAATCAGCGTTCACATCGCCAAGGCAGTGATCAAGTGCGCCATGAGGGAAGGTCTGGCGCAGGAAAAGGATATACCCATGGAGGATGGGGAACTTGATGAGTGGATCCGAACGCAGATGTGGGATCCAGAGTATCGACCGCTTGTGAAGCCGGCGAAGCCAAAGTCTACTTGATATTCATCTCTCCTTCATTGAGGAGCCATTGGGGAGTACCGAATTGAGACTGTTCTATGGCATGGTCAACCAGCTATCTTCTTTCCTCTAAAACCAGGGGAATAAGACCAAATGGATTTCCGTATGGATGGTATTGTATCATTCGCATGTACAGTATTTACCGTACGTACATACGTATGCTAGTACATAACGTTCGCCTTGACTAAGTCAGTATCTTAAGCTAGCATCAATCAACAGAAGCGATCATATAAATCATCAATGGATCGCCGTATCACGACCAACGTCATTGCAATTTTGGACTCGATGTCTTCGTGGCTGAGCCTGAATTTCCTTGCTGATAAGCATTCAGACGGAGTATTCCGAACTCACATCAGCCCCAACAGTCTTCGCGTATTTCTATGCCAAGGAGGAACTAGAGGCATTATTAATATATCGTATTATTATTGTGGCGCACCAAAGCCGCAAAATGGACTGCTGGTGGCGTGAGAAAGGCCTGCACAGCCCCATGAGTTGCCGAATTATCCAGAGAAAATAAGCCAAGAGCCAAGGCAATCTTGCAGTCTGCCTGCCCAGACTGCAACCACGACTATTAGTTCCGGAGTAGTTTCCATTATCTGATAACAGCGTTAGCAGACTAGCTGATGTCCCCCTTGAGGCTTTGACATTCTCCGTCGCGTGAACCATGGTTCTAGCGGGCCTCCCAAAAACTTTTGTCCATCAGCGAGTCACCGCTCCAGTATGACTATAATAAGCCATTAGCAGGTTACTTCTTTGACCATCTCTGGTCATTTCTTTCCATCCACTAAAGAAATACCCGTTTATTTCAGCTGGCCTGACGCCAGGTTGCTGGGACGTTCATTATGAGGATTTCTCTGGCTACCAGTCTTCTGCTTCTCACCTCTCTGGCCACTTCGCGTGCCATCCCTCGTTCCGACGTCGTCGCAGGTGATGTTGAAGCTGTGCCAGTCACGAATGATGCATTCGACCTGCCAGACTTGGAGAAGAGAAGAGGCGGTGGCGGAGGCAAAGGTGGCAGTGGAGGTGGCAGCGGAGGACGAAGCGGAGGCGGAGGGAGCGGATCAAGCAGTTCAAGCAGCGGATCAAGCCGAGGCAGTTCAGGAAGCGGTGGAAGCAGCGGATCGTCGTCGTCTTCTTCGTCGTCGAGGTCAGTAGTATGGCAAAAGATGACACCTGGTAATTCTCGTCTGAGGCTAACCATCATCGCATAGCAGGAGCAACGTAGGGGGGTTCACGAAAACAGGCTCAGGGACGCCCCGTACCTATGGGGGAGGATCTTACTATGCCGGTGGTGCCAGCGTTCCTTACACAGCAGGTGCAAAATCACCTCTGGGGGTTACACCGTACTTGCTGCCGCTCGGGGCCCTTGCGGTCATCTCGACCCTCTGGCTTTATGACGCCTACGCCTATCCCTGGAGCCGTCCGTACCAATACCACAATCTCACAACTAATACAGATGAAACCTTGCCGGTGGTTTGTCTCTGTCAGGAGTACTCGGAGTGCGGATGCGACAATAACAACAATAGCACCTACGTGGACTCGATCCTCGGGAATAACCCGACGAATTCGAGTGTAGTTTGGATCGCGACAGTCAATGGAACACGAACCATTTTCATCAACGGCACTCTGGCAAATGGGACTACGGCTGCGGATCCATCTGTGTCGGCGGCGCCCGCTGTCAGAATCATGCGTTGGAGCAGATACTGGGCCATTGTGGCCATTGTATCAGCTATGGTCTGGACTCTTTGATTGTGATACGGCCGTTGAGGGCTGTCTGATTCAGAGCGTAGGCCTCACCATCGTTATTATTCCCCCTTTTCTTTTGCTGGTTTCTCATGACAGTCGGAAGACGTTGGTTTATGACCGATGTTTTGGCTCTTTTCTCTGGCTATTGATGAAGTGTATGATACCCGGCAGTTGGCTGATGTCCTTTGAACTCTACCTGTTTGCTTTCCAAGACACATTATTATGCAGTTCACAATTTTTGCGACGAGATATCCACTCTGTCCTCAGGAACTTGCTCAGAAAGTATTTTTTTATGGGTGCAGGAAGGAATAATGAGTTAGCTGATATGAATAATGATGATGCCGGAACAATAAAATTAAATAATAATTACGGAGTAAACTGCCGGTCTGCTCCCGCGAGAAGGGGCGGCATAAAGATGTTCCTGCATGATGCATCCAGGCTGACTGCAACGCGGGCTTCCGAAGTCCTGTCGATCACATTTCATGCCGGGTAAGGGAACTGCCGATCAGGATGAAGCGCTAATCAGAGACGGTGTAACAAATCACACATCCTCTAGCGCTCACAGATGATGGGGGACTAATTGATTCACATAAACTGCACTGTGCATATATGCCGAATGACTCAATTAAGATCGTATTATTCTGAGCGCAACATCATTATTATTATTCTACTGCTGCACAGTGATTGATAAGAGCGAGTCCTGCCTAAGAACGGATCCACTCGAGATCCGCCAAACATGCTCCACCGGGCTGCAGAGTCTGCATTCGCCCGCACGCGCTGGAGAATGCATATCAACGACGGTCCTTCCAATCATTTTGCATCGAGTCACTCCTCGGCTTTGGAGATCCTCTCCTCGACTTCGCATTCATCATCAGTCCTCGCTTCTGAGCCGTCTTATTTCCTGTGATTATTGTCGTCGCTGCTGCTACTACTACTCTTGGCCCCCCGCACCGGTTACGTGCTTAGACTCTTCGGTTTTCTCCGATCTCAGCCTAGCGCCATACACCATGGCGAACGCGTCAGTTGATTGATCGATGGCAAATTGCGATCGCTTCACGGTCAACGTCTAAAATGAAGCGGAAGTTCCTGCATTTTGTCTCGAAAATCCTTTCTTTTTCTTTTCTTTGCTTTTTTTTTTTTGGCCGGCATGGCATGTCGCTGAGCCAGCGCATCGTCTTGGAATTCCACTCGTTTCCCCTCTGGCATTTAAACCACGTCGATCGGCCCCTTGCAATAGGATCCGGCCAATGTAAAAAGGAGATTACTTCTCCATCAAGACTCGGGGCCAGCGAATGCGATGGAGTAATGCTAATTAATACCTCAATTAGATGACGAAGACTGTCTGCTAGACTAGAGACTAGAGAAATACAACCGAGATTGGCTCCCATGCCTCTTACTACCGTAGGGTGCCTAACCTAACTGCTACGAGTTAATCTCAGGCACTAGCTTGTCAACCAAACACACCAACTGTGTTGTGCCCCCCTTTCCCTCTGCGCTGTCGCAAATGACCTCTTTCTGACTCTTCTCGACTGTCTTTTTCTTGGTCTCTCTCTATTCGAGCCAGTGTCACTCGTTTCGATTGCACTCGTTCTTAGACAGAAGAAAGAGTGAACATTCATTTAGCACTCTTGTCGCTGTCGTCCATTCATTCATTCTTTCAATCCGTCGGTCTATTTCTATCTATATTTGATAATATAGATCGCTCGCGATAATTACACTTCAGAAAGTCCAGTCAGTCCATCTATCATTCTGAAATAATAGAAGAGACAAAAAGAAAGTCAACTGCACAACCACAACCACAACAACCGCAAAGATGCTCTTCACCAAGGCCCTCCTGCTCCTCTCAGCGGCTGTTTCGCCCTTCGCGCTCGCACAGGAGACCGTCACTGTGTCTGGGGCACCTTTCACAACCACTGTCAAAGTCGTCAACGCCCACAGCACCCCGACTCCAACTCCGACTCCGACCCCGACCCCGTCCCCGTCCCCGTCGTCGACCCCGTCGTCGACTCACAAATTCGTCGCCTCTACGGGTGGCATCATCTTGCCGTCCCCGGGACGCTGGAACTCGACTTCGTCTATCAAGCCTAAGACTTCGTCTGTCTTCGTCACCGCGACCTCCCAAGTGGCCCCCGCGGAAAGCACTCCTGCCTCTGCGTCCTCAACGGCGCATACTGGTGGAGCAGCCTCTGGCCGGGAGGTTGCAGGCGCCATGATGGCCGGTGTCGTTGCTGTTGCGGGTCTGGTCCTGATGTGAATGAGGAATTAATTGAGAAGAAACGCGCCCAATTGGTTAAATAAAGAGTCAGAGGAAATACAGACAGGGGGTTTCCATTCTCAATGTTTCTCATCATCACGCGCTTGTCAATATCGACGAAGGTTAAAGAATGGGTATAACGTTGATGTTGATAACGAATGATGGAAGATAAATGGGTGGATACCTACTGCCATATCATCATCTTCATGCGGTATTGGATTATTTTGGTTGTTTTGTTGACGTTTCTAGATCGATATTTTCATATATATATATACCCTTCATACCCTTCCCCTTTTTGTTTTTTTACAATTCTGATCTGATACTTTCGATACCTTTATAGCTTCATTTCTTCATTCCACTTTGTATATCTATCTCGTTAATCATGGGCCGTCGCATCGCAGTCGCAGTGTTTGTGCCCCGAGTCATTGCATAATTTGCCCTATTGATTCACAGACGAGTCCTTAAAGCTCTCACAACGAAACTCCGGGATGGAATTGACGGCGAATCTGCAATCCGAGATCGCTATCCTCTTCTAGTTTCAAATACGAAAACATCTTATGTACATTACAGTACATAAATTTGTAAATGGAACTATGGTGCTTGAAATAACAACAGTTATCCTATCTTCTATCTCGGCAGAGAGGATCCACATTTGACTCTTGCAAACAGGATTTACGCTATAAATACAGAACACCGCAGTAGGGTCTTTGTTCGATCCAGAAGGCAGACGATGAGTGGAAGGCAAGATGGCTACAATACAAGAATTGGCGACATTAACGTCGCGTACAAATGAGAGGATGCCAGACATGTGGGCGTCGTTCCTCTTGTCTAGGACGGGTTCTTGTAAGTAGCCTCGTACCTGGTAGCATGCTGTGTTAGCAACCAGAAACGCAGATGAACATTGACGGAACATACCTCTTCCCTCTAAACGCCCACAGACCCCAGTTCCCGCAGGAGATGTCATGCGGATCCAGATCGTTCAGATCCCATCTCAGGCTTCGGAATCGGTTCTCCCCGGGCTCGAGCAAGATGTCGAATTCTCCCGCGCACTTTTCCTTGACCCAGTTCATATCCCTCTCCATATCCCATTGCGTGTATCCCGTGCACAGGATGGGCACCTTCGTCTCCAGGAGCTGCGGAAGAGTCTCTTCCCATTCATGAGCACTAGCAGGGTGCCCGAGACCCGGGTGGAAGAGCACAAAGCAGTCAAAGTATGGGTCATATGGATAGAAATACTGAGCTTTATGCATATTGTGGAAGTAATCAACGTAGGTAGTGATCTTCATCTGTGGGCCGAGACGGTCCTCAACAATGGCGCCAAATGGATTTTCCGGTGTGCGTTCCGGAAGAGGAAATTCGTCGTCTCGGTTGGCCATACTTTCCGGTCCGATGAAGATGAGGTTGATAAGGGCTCGGGGGAACATATGGGTGAGCTGAAGCCAGACTTGACGGGGCAGGGAAGACTCGGCACGAGCTCCAAGAACAAATATGCGGACTGGAGGAGCCTTGAGACGCAGCCCGTGTACGTCCGTTCCTTCTCCCATCTTGGGCGGATGCAATGTGTATCGAAGTGCTAGAAGATATCATACTCCATCAGTTTCATGCCGGTCTCAAAATTACAGTGACAAGGGTCGACAAAAACGCACCACTGAAGCTCTTAAGACCTTCAACGGTCAACCTCCCTCCTTTGCGGATATTGTAAGGACTCAATTCGTGCAGCACACTCCCGATGGTGACGGGATAGGTTAGCAACCGGGTCACTTGCCGCATACTCCTCTCATTGTTGATGGCTTCAAACTCGCGCGTATAGAGGAACGTGTCCCAATTCGTCATGTTGATCACAAAGTTGTCATCTTGGGGCCCGGGATATGAGAATTCAGGGAAGAAACGCCCCGAAACTAAATCATGATCATCCTCGTTGATCTGCCTGATGGTATCGCAGATCTCTAAATGCGCCTCATAATCATCCATCCAGTGTTCTTCAGAGCAATATATTGGTACTCCACAATCGGGGCACTCAAAGCGTGAGTGAGCTGGTGGGAGGCTCGCGTTCGGACTCTTTCGTGCTTCGGGGTCATTTGGAGAAGTCGGCAGGCGAGTCTGTTGATGACTTGGATGAGGACAGAAAGCATTCTGCATTATAAATGCAGCGCGTCGCCTGATGATGGGTGACGGCGAGCGCGAGAATGGATGAAATAGATTGTTGGGTTTCCGAAGAGGCCGCGTCTCTTCAGAAAGTCCAATAGTAGCCGCAGTCCGCAGGTTTCGACCACCATTTTTCGACACGAAGTTATTGGCAGACGGGACTGTCAGTCTCCGGTCAAGACGGCTCGGGGGGGTTCTCAATTGCGGATGATCATTGTACTTGGAGGACGAGCTTCGGGCAGTTGTTGAATGCGAAAAATTGCACCTTCCGCTTGGCTGAGGAAAACGTCTGAAGCGGCGGAAGAAGACTTGAGATTGAAATCTTGGTGACAGCACCTGCAAACAACGATTACAGGTGTATTCAGTCGCCATTTCAACAATCGTTGGCGGTCAGCGGAGATGTGTTCGTTCCTACTCTGCTGGACATCCTTGGCACATCCGACATGAACTTCCGGGATACCGAGTGTACTATAGTCATCACGTGACAGTTGCATGTACAGTACATACATACCGGAAACAGAAGCATATCAACGGAGACGGTACGGAACATTAAAAATTAATCGAGCATTATCAATACATATATAAGGCCATACATAATACAGACTACTTAGGTTGTAACCGCATCCACCACACTAGGGGAGGCTGTTCTCACCCAGAACAATCGCACAAGCAGCACCCAGAGAGAGTCGAGGGTCGGTGGTGTCAAAAGATATCCTCGCAAACACTCCAGTCACCTGTCTCTCTGCATTTCCAGTATTTGCCGTTGAAAACCCAGTACTCCTCCCCGGTTATTGGGCATTTACCCCTCGTAAACCATTTCGGAACGAACTCTTCACCTTTCCTCTCCCGTTCTCTCCGTTTCGCTCGCTGTTTCTCTTCGACTCGATGCTTTTCCGTAGCAGCAAAATCATACTCGCCTTCCTCCATTGCACGCTGATCGGGACGAAGTCGAGTGTCGGTGGGAGGCAGGTATGGTCGGAGTTTATCAGGAAGCGCATTCAGGGTAACGACGAACGGAGTCAGGTTGAATGGGATACCGCTTGGACGAGGATTACTCTGCCACACCAAGAATGTCTTGGAGGAATCGGAATCTTTCTCGGAGACTTCAGCCTCATATCCTGGCGTATGACGAGCATATATTTTGTCATTCCATCGCCCGCCGATACTCCATTTCGTAGCCCCCTTCGAATCGACAACTTTGCCGGTAACTTGATATGCGGATGACGTTTTCCATCCGCGAGGTTTAAAGTCCAAATAGCACATATCACCCGTCGTCCAATTCTTAATTTCCATTGGGCCGTAATTATCCACAGTGGGATTGCCCGTTATGATACCGACCACCGAAGACGTAACTTTCTTCCAGGTGTACAGTTCCTCCTTCCCTGTTATGGGACGCAGTTTCAAAAACCACGTCCCCAAAGGGTTTATATCAAAGGATTTCCCGTAGAACTTCGACTTGACGGCCGACTCACCCTAAAGACACCTATTAGTATTCATTCACCAGGGGACCATGGAGCTCGACACACGTACGTAGTAATCCCATTTGGCCGATTCAGCCCATGCAGCACCGATCGGTGGATGGTGGCTGACCTGTTCCACAAAGAAACGATAGCCCTTGTCCGGCCTGACGTACTCAAAGGTCTCTCCCAAAAGAGGATTAAAGGGCTTTGCTACCCGCCCGATTGTCGAGGCGTATTCACTTGCAGCAAAGGCAGCAACATAGATCATACGTTCCAAAGAATCTGCCCGGTCGGCAGCAATATCCAGAAGATCAGAATACTCCATGTCTTCTGCAACTCGCTGAAGAAGCGACGTGGGTTCGTTGAAGGAAACTGGAAGAGTCATCTTCGTCATGTCCTTGCCAATCATGGACTTAAGAATACCCTAAAGGCCCAGTTAGAGTCTGAAAACACAAAAAGATATATTGCACCTCTCGGCAACTTACCCACAGGGAGACCTTGGGCCGATTGTCGACCTCAAGTTTGAGTTTCTGTCTTGGAGGGTCCTCATAGCCTTTGAAGGAAGGAACTATTTCGGCATATTTAGCGGCCCGCAGATCGGCATTAACATCGTCCAGCGATGGTTTCTCCGCAGTAACCTCAGAAGTTGCCAGCTCCTCAACTGCAATCTCTCCAGAATCAATAGCATCATAAAATTCCTCATCATCCGACTCCGACTCAGCGAGATCGGCGTATTCAGAGATACTTTGCCTCCTCGATGATGAAGGACGGAGACCAGGGTTCTCACGCAGCCTATTGGTCTCTGGCTGCTGAGCAGGATGTTCAACCTGGCTCGCTTTCCCGGAGTCTTCTCTGGAAGCGTTGTCCGCAGTATTTTCTAGTGATTCAATCGCTTCGTCAACTTGCGCATGTGACAGCCCTCGACTAATTGGGCGACTGTTGCTTGCTGAAGCGTTCTCCAGGACCTCTTTGAGAGCTTTCTTGGTGCGCTTCCGCTTATCCTCGGACTCACCGATCTTGGTCTGCAATTCTTCGTGTTCCTGAACAATCCGGGCCATGCTTTCCTCCCACATCTTGCGTGTATCGGCCTCCTTATCCAGCCGGTATTGCCAATAGGCGTCACGGTCTCGCGATATCTTCAAGAGATCTGCCAAAAGTCCATTGAGACTATTCACGGCAGATTCGTACGCGGCCAGCGCCTGATCGACGGCCGGATCTGATATTGCCAGATCCGGGTTTTTTGACTTCTCTGCTTGAAGAGAGGCTGAAACATTGGCGAGAAGGTCCAGTTGGAGTTTCGCAGACTGGGCGGTAATATTGAAGGCATCTTTGTTAGCCGGTTGTACATCGCGACTAGACACGTCATCCCCATAATCGTCATATTCACCATCTCCATCAGGTCCACTCGTCATATGACTGACAACTCGGTTCACCTCATTCTGCGCGATGCTAGGGTCGTAGGAGCCGTAACCAGAGCCATCATCATCACCCGGGCTGCTCTCTGCTGCAGTCCGAGACGTGTGAGTACTGATCCGGGAAAAGCTGGCATTTGATTTCACAATTGTCGGGGGGGCCAATCCCCTTGCGTTCAGCTTGGAGCTCGTGGACGCGCTTGATTCTGCTTGAGTTTCTGAAGCCCGGCCCTCGATCTGGTCCATCTTCGCTTGACGAAGTAGTTCTGCGTCCCTGGTTCTCCGCTTCTCTTCCTCCTTTGCTTCGTCTTTCGCCCATTGAATTGCGTTGTTCAACGCCCAAAACCACCTTTTCGCTTCCACAACATGGTTGGCTTTCAGGTGGTACTTCACAGATGACTTGCCATGGATTTCAAAGCGGGTCTTGTCTTGCGAATCCATATGAAGTTTTGCAATTCGCATACTAATCGCACCTCGACAAGCCGAGCCGGCATCATCTGAACGAGGGAGTTAGGTTTCCCAGTGTCTGTCATTTCATAAAGTGGACTGACCTTGATGTTTGTAATAACTCAAGACGCCATCTTCGAGCACAAACCATCGAAGTTTATAGCCTCCTGTATAGTTGGTCCATTTCTTCAAGTAGCCCTTCATCTCCCGAGCATCTTTGCCGGCAAGAGCCACCTCTGCGCCCCCAGCCCGACCAGAGTTCGCTTGAGCGGCAGTGTTCCCAAGTATAGCTCTTTCTTGAATGCCACGTTGAGCTATGACTGCGGCAGGAGACTTTTTAAGAATCGCCCTCGTTTTATCATCTTTGGTGACGTCTTGTGGGAGTTTCCCTTTCTTGTCCCGGCGGAAGGGATCCGCGCCATGCATCAAAAGAATTTGAATGAGCTTCGTATCCTTTTTCCTTGCCCCCTCGTGCAGCAATGTGCCCCCTGTCTGGGCGGTAGCGCTATCCGTGACCAGTTCAAGGCTGTTTACGTCCAAGCTTCCTTCCACTCGGGGCTCTTCGAGGACCTTCTCCAACTTCTCATAGTTGCCCTGCGTGACAAGTTCCTGGATTTCTTTCGTCTTGCGATCGATGAATAGAGAACGAGCAAGCTGAAGCTGCTGGAAAATCTCTGGAGTACGCGCAAGGTCGAGAGGGGCTTGGCCCCGATAGTTGACAACCGAGTCGTCGATCTCTGGTCGGTCGAGTAATGCTCGTACTATGGAATCTCGTCCAAGTTGAGCCGCAAGATGGAGAGGTGTATTGCCCTCACGATCGCGAGCATTGATATCAATCTCGTCTCCACTAGACAGAACATATTCCACAACCTGCGGCTCCGCACACTGGATCGCCAGATGAAGAATCGTAGTGCCCGAGGCCGCCGCCATGCCTTGTTGATCTTTCGACTCCCTGATGGCTTTCGAGATCGCAGTCGTGTCTCCGTTCCGCAAGATCTCAAAGAGACGGAAAGCACGCACTGACTGTTCAAGGGAAACGCCTCCATTCTCAGTAGTCCCACGAGATCCGGGCTTTCCCGAACTCTCCTCGCTTTGATTGGAGACTATGGTCTCGAGATTACCCTCACGGGAAGCACTCGGGGAATCCGTCATGTCTGGTCCTGCCTTGCGGCGAGTATTGTTGCGAATATTCGTTAAAGAAAGAGACGAATGGTGATGACGTTGACCATTTGTGTAAGAGGACGACGCAGCAGTGGATGTCGGCGAGCCGTCTTCGAAGCTGCGGTTGTCATCCTCTCTATCCTCAGTCTTGGACTTGTCGCGATGAAGGATGGAGAGCGCTAACGCACTCTTGGACCGTTTATGGCTGAGTTGACGTTGCATGTTAGCATAGACTCCAATAAGGGCGGGACAGAAAAGGAAGGAGTGCTTTGGGAAGGAAGACGGCGCAAGAGGCCATGGAGCCAAGCTCGACGCTGTTCGCTGTGCCTCGAGCGGCTCCTTCAGCCTTCTCAAGCTGAGAACAGCATGGTTGTTGCCTAGAGCGTTGAGCAGAGCTCTCCGCAGCTTCCTCTTTGCCCATATCCATGGTCGTTGCGTATCGAACCGGTGGTTGATTCCTGTAAATGTGGAGAACTCACCCCTCGCTCTTCTCTGTCATTTTCTCACTCTGTTCAACATCAGTGCATCATCCACCAGCCGTTAGGAGGAGTCCTGTGGAAGTGATATCTAGGAATAGGATGTCAGAATGAGAGCAAAAGGATGGGCCGGGCCAGGAGGTGAACTTGTATGTATCTTTGACTGTTGTGACGCGACATGCTGGCAGGTCGCTCAGCGGGTCACCCGCCTAATAGTCAGGAGCCGATCATAGGCCAATGTGAATGGGCGGGCGACGACGGGCCACCGCCGACACGGGATTGCCATAATAATAAAATAGCCTTTGACTACGGTTTTGTTCATCTTTTCTTTTGTCCCTCTTTCATGTTCTTTTTCGCGATCTCGGAAGGCATTATCAGTTTCTCTTATTCGCTACCTAATCAGGAGAACATCGAATAAGTCCACCGAGTGGGCGCCGTTGTCCATCCTGCTGCAGGCAATCGACGCGATCTGTAGATGGATACAAGTTACAACTGGAGACTAGACGTAGGCCCTTTAGGGCCTCGTAGGATATTTTCCAGCAGAGATGTATTATTTACGCTGGGATCCCCAGATAAAGACATGCTTTGGGTCATCAGGATCTATCCAACCATCTTTTCTTGCAGTTAATATACATACATTTTTTTTCCCCCGGGAGGGGGCTCAGAGCCTAACTCGTTCGCCCTTTCACCTTGTCTCTCCACTGACTAGAAGTATAACGCTCCCGAGTTGCCTCTTCAGGTCCTCTCGGTCCACATCGTGAGAATCTTCAACCTCTCCCCACATATCGGTCTGATGTCTTACTTCGAGACTTGACGCCTCAGCTGCCTCTTCAACACCAAATCTTGGCCTCCCGTGTCGCTGTAGATGGCGGAAATGCTCACTCCACTCCACGATTAATCGAACTGCGACAAGTAAGCTCTTACTAGCGATCACTGCTCTCTCCAGGGCAGCCAACTCGTAAGCGGGTAGATCCAAGATCCATTCCCGAATGACATCTATCGTAGCTTGAGGCTGAGAGACCGGCATGATACTGTCTGCGTCAAGGATAGGTTTGATTTCAATGCCTGGCCACAGTTCCTGAGTCAGAAAGCCGATTATTTGCTGAGCCACTCTCATTTGCTTATTGCGTAGAGTTTCGCGCTCTCCTGCTTCCGCTTCTTCCACGGGTTCTGGGTCATGGAACTTCTTCTCCGGCACCCAGCAGAGGAGCGTATCTGTCTCCAGATACCGCATAACAGTCCTCAAAATCTCCTGCCTTATTTCCGTCCGGCCACGCTGATCTTCTCGAGCAATATCGTCTGCGCGGGAAGTGAGCGAAGTGAGCGGTATCATATGTTGTTTCAGAGCCTGTTGAGCGGATATGAGGAGATCCCACTCGAGCGCGATTGCTTCGGCAAGATGACTTTTGGTCGATGGGATCGTCAGGACAGTTTTGGCCGGAGTTCGGATTGGTCGTGTATCTAGTAACACCTGGTATCCATCTGGATCAGAGGTCACTACGTCGGCTCCTGGAAGAAAGATGGGTGTGAACAGTGGAGGGTGAAAGGGGGAAAGGTACCTGGAGTCTCTTTGACATGAACATCCTTCCAAAATCGCTTCCTGATGGTCGTGCTAGGCTTCGAAGGCTGTGTCGGTGCTTCCTTTCCTTCTTGTATCAACTCAGCTTGCTTCTTGCGTTGCTCCACTGGCTCACCAAATCCAGGCGCAGGAACCGGAGCTTTAGGGGGAGGTCCATGGGCAGTAACCGGATGGGCAATGGCCCATAATCTCGACGAACAGTGAAAGCAACGAGACGAGATCCTGCTTCGAATGGAAGTGGTTGTTGACAGCGGGGAAAGCACCGCAGACGAGCGAGGCAAAGTTCTCATGATGTCTAAATAATGACGACAGCAATCTTGTGAATTCCCAAAAAAAACCGCCGGCTGTGCGCTAATAGAAGTCCATAAAAATATCTTCACGAGAATGATATAGTAAGTGTCAGAACGAAAATCGTGCGCGCTTAGTGTAGATATATCAAAATGTCTGCGGGTTGTATGTACCCTACTAGGTAGGTATGTACAGTACAGTACATACTGTATCTTCGGTTGGTCTGACAAGGGTAGCTTGGGATTAGCCAACGAAGTTATTGCCACCGCCTGCCGCTGTCCCCACATACAAGGCAGAGAGACATCTCTACTCCGTGGTAATCCGCAACGATGTACAGTATACATTTCATCTCGCTGGGAATTTCTTAAATTTAGATTACTCACCTTCTTGAATCATTCGTTATTATATGACGATCATCATTGAACAGATCCTATTGCCCGGCCTAGAGTCGATCATTCTTTGGCAAATTGGCTGTATAGAAGAATCCTGGGGAAGGCGCTTACTTATAACTAAAAACTCTCACACTTTGAATAGCTTCTGCACCGTTAACTCAGTCGAACGGGTTGGCAGAGATCCACTAGGTTTTTTTTTAACACTAGGAAGAAAAAAATTACCAAGGTCTGGTCGAAAACGGAGGCCTACGTTTGGAAACAAGCACTATTCAAGAAGCAGGGAGAGCTGTTAGGTGCCCTCTTATCTGGATGTTTGCGGCTAGGCGGCGAGGTAGGTAAATGGCATGTTTTAGATTCACGGTTCCAAAGCCAGGCAAGTTGGAACAGGAATAATGTGGGAATTCACTATACATTACAGGTAGCAGCAGCTTAGAGAACATACTCTGGTCGAGAGGAAGGGCAAAAAGTATTTTGGAAGAAACAGAATAGAAGACTCTGACCAGACGAGAAAGGATTTAATGCATTGCAAACCATGAAGAGAATAATAAGAGAAAAAGAAGCCACCCATCCGTCTTCTGGTCTAGATGGTGTCGACACTGATCTGTAAGAAAAGAAGGAAATGCTTTTGTATTGTTACACAAGCACCCTCAAGAGAAAAACCACCATTGTCAACCTCTCCCGGCTTTATTAATTAAGTCCGAATCCATTTTTTGATGGAATGATGCAGTGGTGTTGTTTTCCCAACTGAGGTCATCACGTACTGCAAGCAGAGAGCAACACACAACAGCAGAAGGAAAAATGAAACTGGCAAAGTACAGGAGAAGAACTTTTTTAAAGCAGGAGAGAAAGGGCTTAGTGCAGAAATAGCAAAACCTGCTAACTGTTCTGCAAAAATCACCATCCTTCTGGAAATTAGTTACAAAAAAAAAAAGAAAAAGAAAAAAAAGAATAAGAAAACTTTCGTTTCAAAAAAAATTCGAATGAAAAGAGGCATGCCATCGTAAAGTTCGCGATTAGATCATTAGTAAGAACGGTCTTCAAATCCTAGAATCGGTAAGGCCCTGTGCCCGTGGACTCGGCGGAACAATAGTCAATCGCCACGCTTTGGGTGGTTCTCCGAAAAGAGGACGGTGTCTGTGAGCGCGATAGGAAAATTTCTAGCCGGAGAGGATCGGTTCAGAAAGAGCTGAAGCGACCGAACCGAACTCATTGCGACAGAGCCAGATGTGCATCAACAGAGAGCCGGCAGCGTTAACCAACTACCTAAGCCAATATGTCGAGCTTCTGTTTCTGCCGTTCAATGTCGGTTCGCTTCCTCATGCGTTCGGAGTCATTGGCATCGGCGCCTTCTCGGCTGCCCCAAGTGGTCTGTAAATCGCGTAAGACTCGGGTTAGCTGCAGGCCGCTGCAAGTAGCTGGCTAATGACATAGGCAGTGGATGGGCTGATCCTGGCCTAGACTCAGGATAGTCTGCATAGTGGAACTGGTGATCATCATCACCCCGGAGCGGGTAGCAAATCCATATCAAGATAACAAACTTTCAAGCACGGGGTTTGAAAGGAGGGTATCATGAAAGACATTGACCACAAATTCCTTGGCCCCTCCTTGGAAAAAGACAATGAGGAACGATTTCTGGGGACAACTGTCGATGAAACGCAACCAAGGCATCACAGCAAGACCTTCAGAAGGCCAGCACGGTGGAGAGATTGCAACGAGAAGGGCAAGTAGTGGCACCGGGGCGGGGGAGGAAAAGCACAGAGTGGCCAGTCGGAGGTTGCGACGGCTTAGGCCAGTTCACTGCGGATAGGCCTTGGGGGCCTAGGCCGTTAACCCAAAGCACTAACGCTCTAGGCACAGTCAAGCCCCCTGCAGGCCACCCTAAAGGCCCTATAGGAAAAGGCACTTTCGGAGATGACCAAAAAAAATGCAAGTCTTGAGTTGTTTGGGAATTTTTTTTGCAACTTACCACATTGAGAGTGAGAACCGCATACATCTTGATCACGCCATGGAAATAGCCGAAGAGAATGGAGACGGGCAGCAAGAGAATGTCGACGGGATAACGGATGTAGTGGCCAAGCAATTTAATGAACTTGCTGATAAACATCCAGGTCAACAGCGCTCGCATCGCCAGCGCGTGCGAGTCTCGATCCCAAGATTCCGTGGCCTTGTGGCACAGGTAGATGAGCGCCATGTCACCCAGGAGGGCTGGAGGCGACAGCGTAGTCAGATGGACGGCATAGGTGCTCCATGGCTGGCGGCTGCAACACAGACCCTTTGGTTAGCGTACGTCTTATACAACTCTCGTTTTTTAGTTCATGTGTCTTGCCAAACTAGGACATCCCCACCCGAGCGACGCAAGTCCTCGTGCGCCGACCCGCTTGCCGTGGCCCGGTCGATTTTCACCATGACCAAGCCACGTAAACCACAAGATGAGGTAGCGGGGATTCAACCGGAGCTAGGTAGCTCGACTAAAACGGGCCGAAGCAAATGGGAGATTGCGGGCAAACCGGCATCAAAGGGAAAGTGCGATACTTACTACCAGATATACCTCTCACTGAACATGCTGGTCAAGTTGCTCCTCCAGTTGCTCCGTGACCACCGGGCGCATTGCTTCAGAAACTTGGGGTTGTCCTCCAGCGTGGTCTTGACCTCGACTTCCGGATGATACTGGATGTAGGTTTCCCAGCCGTGGGAGACCATCCACCGCGTGATGAAGTTGTCGTCGTCCGCATTCAACTGATATTTTCCGAACCACCAACCCTCGTTCGTGAAGGCGTGCGTGAAGCCCTCATCTTGTAGGATCTTGGTCCGATATGCGACAGTCCGTCCGGAAAGGCATGGAACCCCGCCATCCATGTGGGTGGTGGCAGCGCAGTCAAAGTTCCTCCGCTCCAAATACAAGGCACCCAGGAAGCCCCAGATGCGCTGAGAAAATGTAGGGTTGACAGCCCGACGCAACCGCTGGCAAGTGACGACTCCGCCAAATCGCTCGTCGGTGTCGAAGGGTGCCAGAATCCAAGGGAGTGCAGTCGGTGGCCAACTCACATCATCGTCAGCAAAGACAGTAATCTCGGTCCGGACCTCGGGGATTGCTCGAGTCATCTGACGCCGTTTATTGGGATGCGTGACCGTGAAGAGACGAACTCTGGATTGGAAAGCGGGCATAGCTTCCAACATCTTCTCGGCTTTCTTGCGGTTCGCCTCGATGGTCACAAGAAGGAGCTCGAACGGCTGATTCTCGAGGATTGTCCGAATCGTTTCGACCAGATCGTCTCCACACCCCTCCAGGGACGGTATGATGACCGTGACATCTTGCGAAGTCAATCTAGGATTTTCGGGGATAGGAATGGGCTTGAAGGTGTAAAAGGCAACTAGGTTCACCACTAGGCGGACGTAGCGGTAGAGACTGAATGGCAATAGTGTTAGCATAAATACCAATTTAAAGGGCTTCTGGCTTGAATCTGCAAAGATGCAAGCTTTCAATGTGAACGAAAGAAAACAGCAGACAGCAGTCGTGTGATAAAGAAAGAGAATGGGATACTGACAAGAGGATGATGAAGCTTCGCATAAATGGGAAAGCCATGATGAAGCAGACGTTCTGGCTGACACTAGAGACGAAGACGACTTCCCATATGATTTCTGTCCAGCTGCACACTCAGAGGATTCTGAAATGTGAGGTTGATTGAACGAGCAGAGTATTAAAATGAAAGATGGTTCTGCAGCACACGTTGCCACTGAGGGATATAAAAAGAAACAATGAGCAGGGTGAAGAGTGAAGGGCAGAATGTGAAAGCGAGTGAATTGGTCGGCAACAACCTGTGCTTCTCAGAGAGAGAAGGCAATGGAAGCTTTTTTTTTACAACGAGGAGCTAGATTGATCCATTCCGGCCTTATAATAGCATGATGGACAATTGTTTAATATGTGGTACCTATGGACCAAGGCGGAGTACTGCTCAGGACAAATAATAAAAGAAAAAAGAGTACGACCAGGGTTCAAAGGATGCATGAGAAAAAAAAAGTTACCTGGTGGGCTCCAGTTGTTTGTCATTTTGAGTGTCATGCAGATGTATTTTTGCCTGGCGCGTCATGGCCCTGATCTAGATGGTACGATGTTTCCGGGGACAGATAGAGTGGAGGGGGGTTTGCCGCCGCCGATGCAGCTAGAGGTGACATGCAAGCAGGGGCCAGGCCACCCGGTGGATGTCGGATGCACAGGGCGCATTGGCGGAGGTGGCCAGTCGGGCCTAGCAGAATGGGCCACTAAAACGGCAACGTCCAGCGTCTTTCTGTACATCATCCAGGCGGGAAGGGGAAGCGAGAGCGACTTGATCGTGATCAGGGTGCGGGTGGTTCATGGACTAGAGCAGACTGGGGCAAACTTTCAACCAGCCTCTTCCCACTTAGTTAGGTAGTGTCTTTGCCTCGAGTGGAGAAAGCTAGGAACTAGGCGGCAGGCCCTCGTGCAGTGTCCACCAGAGGATGGGGACAATTCACCGGCCAGGTCTGGTGGTGGACTCAGGCATGATAAGAAACAGCAGATGGATTGATGAAGCGGCTAATTATGTACATACAATGAAAGCACCTGGATGATGTGATGTTACTATAGATATAGAAGACGTTACGTGACCGTCCACCCAGACTTCAGACCGAGAATCTGTGCTCGGGGCTATCTGCTTCCGTTGATATAAAGAATCATTTGGTTCCTTATCATTCTTCATATGGAAGCGCCGGAAATGGAGAAGATATCCATCAACTGGGACAAAGGATCGTGGTCTACCCAAAATTAGGCAGATCTCGTTTATCGACGACTCTCCGGGTCGTCCTTACGATGCCTTGTTGAGTTTTCCATCTCAGATAGCTCTTTGGTTTCCACGGGTATATCATTGTGCTTCGAAGTTCCCTCTGTTCCAAACCGGAAGAATCGTCTTGGATAAAATCATTCGAGGCAATAGAGACGAAATAGAACTTCCATTGACCGTACACCATCAAGAATCGGCCACTCGGAACGCTGTATGGTAATTTCTAGCTTTGCAACCGAAAGGAATTAGATCATAAACGAAGTCAGGCTCATTGGCGAGAATCTTGATGACAAAATAAAGATTGGAGCAGAAACTTGGCCTTGCTGTACTATTACTCTTTTATTTAACTCGTTGATTTATTTTTTTAAGACCTGTCTTACGGAGGAAACCTGTCATCCGCATTTCATCAAATGCATGCGGTTTCAAACTTTCAAGTCAATTGAGATGCAACGATCTCATGTCAGGTCTCTAAAGAGGCCCAGATTGGTCTGAACGGTCTCTGCTGTCGCCAGAAGAATCTTGGAATATGAGTGTTGATTGGTCAGCTGTGCGTCATGTCTCTGCTGTCTTTGAGAGTCGAGAACGGCCATGATCCTAGCAGCGATCAGGGTGACTTCTCCTGCAGGCGGTTGAAGCGATTGCATGCATAGCATGGCGACTAACCAGGAATGGATGCACATACAGAATAAGGATGCAGCTTCGGTGGTGGAGACCTGTCGCCGAAGATCCTTTATAGAGAGCCACATACAAAGAGAGCGTAAAAATTAGAAACGCGTGTTTCCAGGACCAGAGCCTTCTTGCGCTCTCTCCTTTCTTCTCAGAGTGAAGGGCAAAGCGGGAAAAATACCGATGTCAGAATAGTGCGAATTGACTGGAGGACCGAGAGCTGTCACACTGATCTGCAATAATAATCCCTTGTGGACTGTATCCGTATCGCCCATGCGTAATAATTCCAACCTTTGCCGATCCTAGAATCAGTATTGGAATGGCGCTTATTCTGTCTAGCCGAATACTAGCAATCCTCATGAGCGTCTAAATACATGTATGATGACTTGGCTGAGCTGCGAGCTCGAGTTGAATGGCCGACGATGATGATGCGCGAAGCCAGCGAGTTGCATGAGGATCGGCGTGGAGAGGATATACTTAAGAGGTAGGCACTTAGACGAAATCCGGTCAGCTTTCTCGGGGCTGTTCGAATGACCCAAACCTTGCCCATATCGTCAGGCGTGGTCATTGGTGGTACCAAACTTCATAGAAACTCAACGTTGCTGAATAGACTCATTGAGCTCGTGCACTCAGCCATGGTCGCTCTCTCGCAAAAGGTCCATGCGCAGACAGGTCTGATAGCCAAAGAATAGAGTACCTAGATCCTAGATATTGAATCCGGGGACGGTCGTCAATTGTCATCAGCGACCTCCTCGCCGCGGCGATCAAGAAACTGGCTATCATCGCTTCAGCCTCATGAGGAGGATAGCTTGTTGGTTTTAACCTCTTTCTTCTCTGTACAGGCAAAACCTTGCCAAGGACTGCATGGCCCGAATCGCCGCAATTGCTTAGTAGTGCCTCTCGCGCTGGGTATAACTTCGATACTAAGGCATGTAATAATGTGCTAGGCTTGCTAAGATTAGGTGACCAGGTCCACAGGCCCGTTGACTCGAGATTCCGACGTTAGCAGTTTGCCGTCTCACAGTAGTGAATCATCAGGTATTCCGATTGTCTTCCGTTTTGGAAACCCCGAAACAACCACCAGATCCTTAGCGTCCTCCAGCATTTTCGTTATCGTAACCATGCAGGAGTGGCGGCCTCCACTGGGGCCGTCGTGGTGTTTCTTAACTTCCGACTAACCGCAAGCGTTGGCCATCGTAGGCCACTAGGCGGCTGGTATCACGATGACATGCAGCCCACTGGAGGTGGACTAGCTGTGCTGGAACTTCTGTAGTTGGTTAGTGAGGGACGGAGGAGTTCCTCCCTCCACACATGCCGTACCTGCCTACCCAACCTAGGTAGTCCGTACTGCGTATAACAACGCGTAGGTAATGGTCATGAGTTATGAGCATGGCTGAATTGTACTCCGTATGTTTGTTTTGACCCTCGACCGAGTCACACCAGGACACAACCGGTAATTGCATCTGAGCGCCTATTTCCCAGCTCGGTTGGGTGCATAACGACTCCAGGTTCTAGAAGAGGTTACCTACCTGCTTAGGCAATTGCGGACGTTCCAGACATACCTAGCTAGAGCCATGGCGGCTTACTCGGTCCTAGGCGCAACCGTTGTCCTCCGCACTGCGGAAGAGCAGTGGGCAGTTGGACAGGATACAAGGGAAAGAGTTGTCCTCGTTTCCACCTGTTTCAGGACGGCCCTCACTAGCTCGTGGAAGCTCTGCGCGGGGATAACTCGGGCGGAGGACGGGGCTCTCGACTCCAGGACATGGCGGTCATTGGCCGTCATATATCAGTTATTTGAAATCCAGCAAAAATACAGCCAAAGAAAATCTCCGGTTGGCTCTGCGCAGTCCGATTTCGTTGTCCTTCGCAGGCTCGGCCACCTGGGCAGCTCCTGCCCCGTCCTAAGGCTCGGCAGGGCCTGCCTAGCTAGTTCCTGCGGAGATCATGCAGCTAGCCCGATTTGGGAGATCCACAGCTGGCAAGAACTGCCGCTCGCTGAAGGTCATTGATCGATGTGAAAATCCACTGCCTTGCGGGTGTTAACCGCACGAGTCCACTACGCGGTTATTATTACTATTACAGACCTTACCGAGTGCTCGTGTCCATGCTCCAGACCGGAGTTCCATTCCTGATCCCCACCGCTCGAGGATTGCGGTCCTGCCAATGTCACCTGGCAGCCCAGGTCGAGATTCCTGAATCGCCAGCTCCACAGTCGCAATGGACCTCGGAATGGGCCTCTTGAGAAGGAAAATGGGAGGGAAAATAACCGGCAACGATAGTAGCAACAAATGTGTTTGATGAGGAGCATCGTGCCGAAGGCGAGATCGCGCTAGGCGGTTCGTAACCCTCACGATCCTGTCCTGCAATGATTATAATAATAATATAACGTGATCTATAACCTAGTCGGACAAATGGCCTAGTCGGACACTTCCCCACCATCATACAGCTTCACAGTCAAATTTCACCACAACTATATAGAGAAATCATCTAATTACATTAAGAACTATTTCTTGTACGCTGGGAGCATGTACGGGCAGTATGCCCAACTGTTCCACATATACTGCACTGACGTGCAGCACGTTTTTGTGGTCTTTCCTCAGTAACCTCAACCACCCTACTCTCCTCTTCATTAGCTCTTCGTACACGATCTATCCCTG